TTTTCATCTTGCAGGTTCTGAAGATTTTTTATGCAATGCACCTTTGGCATTCTGGTGAAGCATATGGATACCTCTCAAAATAAAGTTATCTATCATCTATCTATCTATCTGTCTATCTATCTATCTATCTATCATCTATCTATCATCTGTAAGATCAGACCAAGGCATAATTGAGACCACTGAAGCAGGCAAAGTCTAAGCAACATGTGATGAGTTTATTGCCAGTTGGATGCAGATAGGCCAAGGGCGAGAAGGCCTTTGGCACTGAGAGAAAAGTGCTCATTGTTGATATGGGGCATTTTAGGTAGGGGAGGGGGCACTGGTCAAGAGGGTGGAAAATTTTAGCATCCTATGGGGATGGGCCTGGGGCTGGCTGATAGACAGGGTGGTTGTGAGAGCAGCAGGGTGGCTTCTGGCTTTTTGTTATCTCTGTGCTCCTGTAGATTCAGGTAGAGGGTCTGCTTGGGTAGGGGTCCAGCTTGGGGAACCTGTCACTATCTATCTCTATTTATACCATACTTGGGATTGAGCTCAAGGCCTTGTGCATGCTAGGCAAGCATTCTGGCACTGAGTTAAAATCCAGTCCTTATCATTTTATTTTTCATTTTGATACAAAGTCTCACTAAGTTGTTAAGGCTGCCTCAAACTTGTAATCCTCCTGGCTCAGACTCTCACATAGCAGAGTTCACAAGTGTGCACAACTGCACATGGCAGAATGTTTTATTTTTAAATTTTTTCTTATGTTCAAATGGGAAGGGGAACAAGGGAGGGGGAGGGGGAAAGGAAAGAAGGGACAAGGAAAAAGAGAATAGAAGGGAAAAAATGGAAACAAAGTTTTCATAAATAAGGAAGGGAAAAGGGGTTGAAGGGGGGAATGGGAAAAAAGAAGCAAGATATATCATGTATAGGTACAAATTTCCTATGATCAATGTTATCATTTATGTATATCTAAATGTATCAATAAATGTTTTTCTTCAAAAAAATTAATTTTTTCTTGTTTTTGAGACAAGGCTTTACTATAGAGTTCAGCCTGGCATTAAATTTACTATATGGCCTAGGCTGGCCTTGAACTCACAGCAATCCTCTTGCCTCAGCGTCCTGGTATTACAGGTGTGCACCACCAAGCCCAGAGGCAGAATGATTTAAATGAGTAAAGTAAATTGATCTAAAAAATAAACTAATTGTAGTGATATACAGTAATTGAGGCAAGAGATTAGGGCATGGCAAAGCTAGCTGGGGAAGTAGGTATGACCTACTAATTACAAAATCCCAGGACATGTGCACAGAGCAGTTCCTAAAGCCCTGGATGTGGACCTCTCATGAGAACTTGAGTAGGTTTTCCATAAGACAGCCTAGACCTGACATCAGCCTAAGGACTGGGTGATACGAAAAGGACAGTCCACACTGAGCTTTGCCACTGTTTGCTCTTTCATGTGGTCTGCCCTCATACTGTAGGATGTACTTCTTTTCCTACTTTAACTTAGCCCAAACTTGCTGTGCAGAGTCTGTTCCTTTTCCTACTATTGTAGATAGGTAAGTTAATTAGATATCTCATAGGCAGTTAGACAGGGTTGGCCCTTGAGGAACCAACATGGAGGACATACCAAGACACATTTCCTGAAGACTAGCATTGTAAAAGAAAAGAAACTACCACATCCACGCGCGCTTTGCCTAAGGATGAATAGCAGTGATTGATATTCTAAATAGGTATCAATCACCTGGGTAGGGGACCAAGATCTTCTGAGAAAGATCCTTGACCCACCCATTACCGCCAAAAATCCTTGCTCATTCCTTGTACACCTGCTACATGACTTGTTTCCCCATTGGATCCCCATTTAATCAATATTACCTAAGCAAGTGTACTTCAATCTTACTAGTTGACTATAGTTTTGTCCCACCTTGAACCCGCCTCTTCTGGTGGCTTTGTCCCATAAAATAACTGAGAAGCAGAATAAGAGGGCAACCCATTTTCCCATCCCCCTTCTGTCTCTCTTAGACAGAAGCTATCTTTCTCTCAATAAATTTTCCTACTCTTAACCTCCATTGTTCCTACCTAGCAGGTTTGGGAGTTAACATCTCTTTCCCCTATATCAATACATTTTTTTCCTTTTTAAAATTTATTTTTCGTTATCAAAGAGAATGTCCAGAAACATTGAGTACTAAAGAATTTGCTCATGGCATTGTTTTACAAAAGTTCCTAGTGGAGAGTGAATTATTTTATTTTCTAAAGTATCCTTCACTTATTAATGATGAGGTGGATGAACTGATGCAATTACTTAAAAAAAATCCAGACAATCCTATAAAGGAAAAAAATTCATTCTCATTTTGAATCTGTTGATTGGAGTGAATTCAGTGGTCACAACACCACCACTGGCTAAGAATCAACTTCTCCACAGCAGGGAACTGGTTCAGGTCTTCTCAATAAGTCATATAGATCTCTCAGATATAGGCGCCATGTTTGAAGTCTCACACAAAATGCCTGTGTCACTTAAGTTACACAGTGCGGCAGTGTTTGGTTCATAGGGACTTAATATTTAAAGGGCAAAGTAGAAAACAATCTGCTTGCATGTTATGTGTGAATACATCATTGTATTGTGTATGGGTTTGAGGGCATCAAAGTCCTTGTTAAAGAGTAACTCCACCAAGAAAGTACCTGTCAGTTCCCAGTTGCTCACTGTTAGGTTAGGGCCTTCTTCATCTAGTGGTTGACTGAAGTGGTTCGAACTAAGTTTGGTTGTTCATCTCTTACACCTGAGCTTTATTTCTCAGCCTCAAGGTATGTGGGGTACTTCACTGTTTCTATTTTCTCTCGGACTTTGTAGGAGGGATATAAACCTGTTCTTCCCAGCTTTCTGTTGACACCTTTAGAAGAGCCATCCCAATAATTTCCAGCCACGCCAATGATATCTCCAGGTTCCATGGGGATTTCCTCTTCAGTTCGAGGCTGGTGAGGATAAATAGCAATCTGGTTGTGGGCATTTTGGCCCCCAAAATAGTAGATGTTATCTAAAGAATGAAAGTTTGCAGAGGCATCAGGATGCAGTGTTTGCATGATTTCATAAGCAACTCGACAGACCTGGGATGAAAAAGTACACACGAGGAAGTCTGCCTGGGACAGAAAACGTATATCCAGGATCACACCCGGAAGGGAATTTTCTGTGTACTAATTGTGCAGTCCAGCTGACCAAGAGATAGAGTTATTACTAATAAATTCATAATTGGGGTACTTTGTTTTTGCTTCCTTTAATAAAGAGGGGTCATCCGTGGCCAAATACACTCTTTTTTTTATCCACTTGCATTCTACGTGTGAGAAGCTGAAAGTATTCTTCAACATGCACCATGTACTCCTCAATGGGATGGAAGGCTGCTTCTATTCCCACTTTGTCTGTGCGTCTAACATGGACTCCAATAACTGGATGCTTGAAGCCAAGCTTCTTGGTGGCCTCTTCTATTTCCTCTTTCAGCCAAAGTTGTGGGTGGATCAAATATTTGACAAACTGAGACACCCACCACACTGCAGGATCACCATGGACTCTTAGGAGTTGATCTTCGAGATCTTCTGGCACAGCCAAGGGTAAATAAGGAGGATGGGGGTGAAGACTGTCAACAATGGGGAGCTCAACCACTTGAACATTTTTGTCCTTCACTTCACCTGACCAGTGTCCACTGGAGATGCCAGATCTGTCTGTGCACGTCTCACTTACAGGTCTAAACACTGTCTCCCATCCATCAGTAGCATAGTGCTAGTTCTGAGATTCCAAGATTCGCTGGGTGCCATATGCAATCATAAAGCAATAGTCCACATGATGGAGTTGACAGCCATAGCCACAGCCTTTGTTGATGTTACACACTAGCTTCTTGGCTTTGCTGCAGTCCTTGGGATTCTGGAGATATGTTATTCTCCGCTGGACCAACTCAGTTAGATCTTTGGCTTCTTTTTCCCGCCAATCACCTGCTCCATCTGCTTGACTAAGGTAGTATAGATCTGTCATTATAGACCTTTCACGATGTCCTAAATCTGAAAGAAATTCATCTGCATGTCTTTGGAGTTCACTTCCTTTCAAATTCTTTAATTTCTTCAATTCACTCTGTAGAAAAAACCAGAGCTCTTTAGCTCCATTTTCAATTCTCCTTCTTAGGACTTCATGATCCTTCCCCAGACAATTTCTGGTTTGTTTCTTGTAATTTTCAATCTGTTCTTTGGCCTTAACAAGCTGCTCTTCTAAAACACATACCCTTCCTGTAGCTGGTCCCTGATCAAGAGAGCCTTCTGGTATCCGGAGAGATTCAGCCATTTGTCTCAATTCATCATTCTGCTGCTTCAAACGTTCCAGCTTTGCCAGAATCTTAGACAGTTCTTAACTAGAATGATCAGGGTGGTCATTATCTTGAACCAAGTGACTACCTATATAAAATAGCAAGGTCCCCCAGGCAAAAAGAATGAGCATAATCCAACGCCAGGAAACAGTCCATGGCCGCATTTTCAGATTTTCAACTCAACTCTCCTAGCTTTCTGGAACTCAAAGAATTGAAAACATCATAACTATTTCTAGTTAGTACACAGATGAAAAACTTTGGTTGCTTTAACACATGATGCTTCAGAACAATTAGTCTCTCTGGTAGTCCTGTGATGAATCTTTCAAAGAGATCCTTCTGGTGATTGAATAGGAAGCTTCATGGACTCTATGTGCTTCTTCCTCTAGATCAGCAGACACAGGCAAAACCATGTGATATTTCCAGAGGAAGGTATTATTGTTTGAATCTGGGTCACTAAAATTACTAGCTGAATTTGTTCAATCGATGAAGGAAATAAAGTACTTTATGTTGAATGAAAACACCATCAGAGTCATGGATGTCCCCTTAGCCAAAACAGCAGCAACCCGAGGCGGCAGCAAGGCTATCACACCGTCCCCCGTCGCCGTGGCCACAGCCCGGCCACAGCCCAGCCACAGCCCAGCCGCGGCTGCCCGGCTCTGGGGAGTGGGAGGAGTGTCTGGGTGGAGGATGCTTCTCCCTACTCAGAAGAGAGGAAGAAACGGAAACGGGAACTGCGGCCGCCGCTTAATGGAGCCTTCGGAGCCACCGACTGAGCGAGAGCGCGAGGCGGCACGAGACCGGCACTTCCTTACAGCGCGAGACGGAGACCGAGCGCGAGCCAAGTCCAGGGCGCGCGAGCCAAGTCCAGGGCGCGCGACCCGGAGCAACGCTGGCCCCGTTCCGCGAGGAGAGGGAGGGGACCGGCCGGCTGGGGGCCGGGAGGGAGGCAGTGAGCGGGCGCCTGGAGCCGAGGAAACCTGGCCACTCCCAGCGGCCGGAGATAACGCGCGTAAGCGCCGAAGCTGCTCAGAGGCGCGCGCCCCTCATCACTACCTTTGATAAACCCTTGCTGGGCCGGGGATTTAGCTCAGTGGGTCCGGCGCCTCCCTTGAAAGCGCAAGGTTCCGAGTTTGATGCCCGGTACAAAACAGCAACAACAAAAAAACAACTTTGCTACCATTTGTGCTTGGCCTGACTAATTCTTTGCTCAGGACAGAAAGAACCTGGAATACACCCGCAGAAGGAGACTCCAGCACCCCCAAACCCAATAATATATTTGGCTTTAGTCAGCCAGTAGAGCAGGTAAGGCCCTTTAAGGGATTTTTTTTTCTCTCTAAAATGCCATGAAGATTTTTTTCTTCTTTCCCTGTATCTCTCCCCTAGACTAGGGAGCCCAGAGACTTTTCTCTTGGCACTAGGAACAGCTTCCTGGTGTGTCCCAACATATGGGATGGGGGACAGGGAGCACATAGCCTCTGTGTTTTTAAATTTTTTTATTTTCAGCCAGTAAGAGGCCTACAGGCTCACTTGAAGTTTATCTCTTCTTTTCTTCTGTTCCGGATACTTAGAAAAGAACAGCCAGAGAGCCTGTTATTATTATTATTTTTTTCAGTACCAGGGATCAAACTCAGGACCTTGCACTTGCCAGGCAGGTGCAGTGCTGCTGAGCTACATCCCCAGCCCTGGGGAGTCTCTTATTAATCCAGTTGCAGAAAAGATTGTTTAGGTATCATTTGTGCAACCTAGAGTTTAATATGCATTTCTTACCTCATGTTTCTGTTCTCTGTGATACTTTGCTCAGCTTTCTCTTTCTTTGAGGGGAAAAATAGCTGTTGGTAAAAAAAAACAACAGCTGTTGGTAACTTGGTCTTCTGACTGGGTAGCCACTTACCTGAGTTTACTCCCTTTGAGCTCAAAAATCCCATCCGCACTTCCCCCCTACATGGCCTTTTCTTTCTCAGGGTACTATCTTAATTAGGTTTGCAGTTTTTTGTTTTTTGGTTTTTTTTTTTTTTTTTTTGCGGGCGGTCACGTGACTGGCGGCGTAGTTTAAATCAGCCGGATGGATTCCTTCATCTTTGCTTTCAACTGACCTTGCAGTCCCCTCAAAATCTCACCCTTGTAGATAGAAGCTAATTACAAAGAACATGTGGTTTTTCATCCTCTTTTCCTTTGGATTGAGCTAGATCTCTTCCTTGTTTCTTCTAACAAAATGCAGGTAATTAAGAAACATATGCCTGGTGGCTTGAGCAGAACAAAAGAACAGGTTCAAAACCTTAACCAACCCAAGTGACTGTGACTCATTCTTAGGATTTTAAAAGATTTTCTCTTAAAAAATAAGTGTCCTAGAGGAGCCCAATATTCCTCAGCCCCCTCATCGTTCTTCTCCGGCAGCCTTATGTCCCACTGGCTGCACACCGAAAGCTTTAGTCTCACAGGATGAACCCAAAGTGATGCTTCTTACTCCTAACAACTTGTTCTGCCCCTGAGAGAGGTCCCAGGAATAAAAAAAAACTACTTGAGTTCAGGTCTTTTTTTCAGTTGAAGATATCCAGAAATGCAAAAAATGGCTAGGCCAACTATCAGAGGATCTTAGTAAGTTTGCAGAAGGATTTCAAACTTTAACCTTTGCTTTTGACTCATCATGGTGAGATGTCTAATTCATTTCAGCCACTTGCTGTACCCCAGGCGAAAAAGAATCCTACAAGAGGCTAACAACTATGCAGATGAGTAATATGCTTTAAAAGGGGAAGGCAACCAACCTGGAGAGGCTATTCTCCCTTCAATGGAACCAAATTGGGACTATAATACTAGTGAGGGACTACAAATGATGTATAATATGATAGGTGCTCTTACTAAGGGGATAAAAATGTGTATTAAAAATCTGTTCATTATAATAAGGTGAATGGGGTCATACAGGGCAAAGAGAAAAATCCACCTGTCTTCCATAATCAATTAGTATAAGTCTTTCATAAATATATTAATATAGATCCATCTTCCAGGGAGGGAGAAACACTAGTGGGACATCATTTCATTTGTCAATCAGCCCCAGATATTTATCATAAATTATAAAAACTTCAGATGGGGTCTGGGGATTTAGCTCAGTGGTTTCTCTGCCTGTTGCACAAGCGCAAGGACCTGAGTTTGATCCTTAGTACCAAAAAAAACCCAACTTCAGATGGGCCCACAGACACCTATGACCCAATTGTTGGACATAGCCCTTTCTGTGTTCAACAACTAGGTTCTGGAGTATAGTCAAAAGAGAAGTTTTTTTTGCAAGTACCTGTGTCAGATTAAGGAAGTTCTCATTCATTTATTTAGCCTATTGAAAGGATTTGATAATAAGAATTTCTTTGAAAAGAAAACATTCAGAGCACTTTAGAAGTTTGTCAAAATTATATTATGTAAATGACATTAAAGTTGAAAGAGACTCGCAGTATTTTCCTTGATGATATAAGCTGTGTCATACAGCATTTAAAAGGATCAATAACATACTAGAAAATTGAATTTTAAGAGGTATGAAAAGAATTATACACCATAACCAAATGTGGTTTATCTCAGGTAAGCAAGCCTGGTTCATCATTCAAAAATCAATTAATGTAGTTCTCTACACCAATACATAAAAGAAGAAAAAAAATCATACAATTGTATTTGACACAGAAAAAAAGCATTAAAAATACACAACTCTTTTATAATTAAAAAATCTCCAGATCCTAGAAATAGAAAGGAACTTCCTCAAGTTGCTGGACATGTATAAAAACACCTTCGGCTAACATACTTAATGGTGAAAAACTTGAAACATTACCATGAAAATCAGGAATAAGGAAAGCATGTCTCTTCTCATTACTCTTTTTAACATCATATTGGAAGTTCAAGCTAATTTAATAACACAAAAAGAAACAAAAGGGAGACATATTGTGAAGAAAAAAATAAAATTGCAAAAAAAAAAGAAATAAAACTGTCCTTGCTCATAGATGACTTGGTTGTTGTATCAGTCAGGATTCACTAGAGGAACAGATAATACAATATGATATGATATAATGAAATGTATTATATGATGTGATGTGATGTGCTGTGATATGATATAGTATAGCATAATGTAATATAAAATGTAAAGACTTTTAGAGTGGGCTTACAATGGCTACTGCAGAGTGAGGGGTGGAAGAATGCAAAATGGCCACTTGCACACTGGAGAGCTGAAGGATCCAGTAAAAAGTTAATGACCTGCAGCTTATTGCAGAGTCCAGTGTGAGTTTGTATGGGAAAGTTGAAGGGTCTGTAATAGAAGGGTGAAGAGTCTGCACTGGAATCCTGAAGGAAGTGGAAACAAATATTCAAGGGTGATTGTGCAGATCTCCTCCAAAGAAGCAAAAAAGGATAGTTTTTCTTCTTCCTTCCATTTTTATTCCATCCATGCTACAACCCTATTGATTACTGTCACCCACATCCAGGGTGGGTCTTTTCTCTTCAGTTTGAAGCTTACATATCACTCATCCAGACACATCCAGAACTGTGCTCCACTGATCTGCTAGGCATTTCTTAACCCATTCAAGTTGACATCACAATTAACTATCACAGTTGTTTATGTAAGAAATCTGAAAGAATTGACAAAAACATTTTTGGAACTAGTAAGAAATTATAGCAGGGTCATAGGATACAAGGTTGATATACAAAATCCAATCACTTTTCTATATATCAGAAATGAAAATTTGGAATTGAAAACATTATTTACATTAGCACTCCATAAAAATGAATTTCATAGATATAAAGCTTAGGTATACCTATTCTCAAAATATGTACCAGATTTATCTGAAGGAAACTATGAAACTCTGATGAAAGAAAAGAACCAACTAAATAAAGATACTCCATGTTTACCTATAGGAAAACAATATTTTTAAGATATGAGTTCTCCCTATAACCTATAGATTCAATGCAATTCTAATCAAACCAGTAAGTTATTTTGTAGATATTGACAAACTGATTCTAAAGTTCACACAGAGAGGCAGAATAGAGAACTCGATATTGAATGCCAAGAAAAAAATCAGAAGACTGGCACCATGTGACATCAAGCATCAGAAAACTACTGCTGTGGTTTGGTATGGTTTATCTCCCAAAGGTTCATGTGCCGGCAGCATGGTCTTCAGTGTGGCAGTATTGGGGTGGTTGAGCCTTTAACAAGTAGGGCCTAGAAGAAGATAATTATATCCTAGATGTTCCACCCTCATGAATGGATTAATGTTTTGGAGTGGGTAAGGTTTTGTGGGACTAGCTTACTTGCCACAAGAATGGTTTGTTATAAGTAAGCCTAATGCCTCTTCTGAATTCCTTTTGTACATATACTCCCACATGATGCCGTCCATCATGAAGCTCTAAATTGATCACACAATTGACAAAGAAGTTTTTCTAGCTTTCTGCCCCAAGATATTGTAGGATTTTAGAAACCTAACATAATTGTGCTGTTACTGTATGGCAGATTTAGAAGCCAGAGACTCAGTGTGCTTTGCTAGTCTGTGGACACATGTAGACCAAGCTGCTTAGCAAAACTCTTTGTAATAGACTCAACAATTATTATTTAAAAACAAATTTGCAGGTTAGGCTGCCCCCAGAGCTGTTGCAGAAAAATAATTATCCACCTGCTCTGGGGAGAAGTGTCAGGAGTCCTGTGCTCCAAAGACGGACCAAGCTACTGTCACCATCAATGCTTGTTCCTCTACTCTTGGCTCTGTCTCCAGTGTCTACAAAATGTGCTTGTATTTTTGGTTTTATACGTGGTCATTTCCTTGCCTTTTACAAAGATGAGTGCCTGGGATTTTGTGAAGCTGTAGATTGTCTTCACAATGTGTCTGGAGTTTTTCCTCACATTATAATATTAATAGTTACCAGTACTCCAGTTCTCATCTCTAAGCAAAGCTGTCTTTCATTCTAACACCTTTTTTTTTTAAATTTAATTTTTTTTTCTTTTTTAGGTTTTTTCTTTTTGTGACTGGATCTTACTAGGCAGTTCAGGCTATCCTTGAACTCACTATTTAGCCCTGGCTGGCCTTGAACTTGTGGCAATACTCTTGACTCAGCCTCCTGAGTACTGAGATTATAGGTATACCCCACCATGCCCGGCTTGAAAAAAATATAACAGTGAAATACATTGCTGTTAATCCCCCCCACACTTGTCCTATCATTTCTGCCACTGTCTGAAGCAGTTCTGGAAGTCTTCCTTCATGTCCTTAGTTGCTCTGTCATAACACCATTAAAGGGCTCCTTGACATTGTGTGCGTATTAAATCTCATTGCATGTTTTCAACCCTGTGAAGAAGATACCTTGTTTATCTCTGTTTTACAGAAGGAGCAACTGACGATTTGAGAGTTTATGTGTCTTAGTCAAGATCACACAGCTGGTAGGTAAAGAAATCACCCTCCTTAATTTACTAACCCATTTGTACTGCTTCCATAAACTTCTATGTGCTTCTACAAAATTGTGGAGCCTTGGATTTTTCTTAGCTGACAGGCTTTCAGGTTCACAAGCTTTAAAATAGGCCAGGAACATAATCCTACCTTCATGAGAATTACTAATAGAAGATTAACCTGATTTTGTTGTCTCAGCCCTATAACCACCAAGCTGTACCAGAACTGATCTCCAGAGAGTGCTATTTCCACTGTGCCTGTCAGGTTGGTCCTTCAGAAGAGACGACAGTGTTGTCTAGCACTTACTAAGAAATCCATTCCAATAGGAATGGAATATAGGAATAGGAATTTATTGGAATGAAATTCATATACTATAAAAATCTAATTTTTAATGTACACAATTCAGTTGTTTTTAGTATTCCTCAAAATTGTAAATCATCAATTTTATAACATTTTCATCACTGCTCTCCATTTGGATCATTTCCACTTTTTGACTTATGAAAAATGCCGTTATGAACATCTTAGACATGTGTTTTCAATTTTCTTTAGAAATAGAATTACTCAGTTTTTGGTAACTTTATATTTAACATTTTAAGGAATTGCCAAACTATTTTTCAAAGTACTGTACTAGTGGGCATAAAGTTGTGTTTCATTATGGTTATGATTTACATTTCTCTAATGGCTAATAATGTTGACTATATTTTCATGTTTATTGCCCATTTGTATGTCTTATTTGGGGGCATATCTGCTCAAATCCTTTCTTTATTTTTAAATTGGGATTTCTTTTTATTTTTGAGTTGTAAGAATTATTTGTATTATGCTGGATACAAATTTCTCATCAGATGAATGATTTGTAAATATTTTCTTTTATTACATGGAGAAATAGGAATGCTATTTTGTCACTTTCTTGATGATATATTTCAAAGCACAAAAGTTTTTAATATCCTAAGGTAGAGTCATGTCTAAAAAACTATTATTTGGCCCAAGGTCATGAAGACTTATGCCTATGTTTTCTTTTGAGGTTTTTATAGGTTGGTCTTTTAGTTTGGTCATTGATCCATTTGAAGTTAGTTTTTCTATGTGGTGTGAGGTAGGGCTCAAAGTCATTCTCTTGTATATCTAGTTGTCCTGACATCCTTTGTTAAAGACTTTCTTCCCTATTGGATTATTTTGGTACTCTTATTGAAAATCAGTTAACCTTAAATATTTTGTTTTTTTCTCTTAGATTCTCAATTCTATTCAGTTGGTATATGGCTAGTCCTATGCAGGTACCAGTATCTTGGTTATTGTAGCTTTGTTTTGATAACTGTGGCTACTTTGAAATTGGGAAGTAATGTATAAGTCTTTCAATTTGTTTTTCATGTCAAAGATGGTTGTGAAAATACTATCTTTCATTTCCACTGTAGCTTTTAAAATTAGTATTCAAGCTATTAATTTTATATTTTAATTTTGCACTGAGTCTTAATGGTTTATTTATCTTAATGTTCCCAATATTTGTTTTATTTCCAATTAATCCTTTTTGGTTTTCATAAATAAAATCTTATTATCTGAAAATAAAGAAACTTGATCTCCTTCTTTCCAGTATCAACAATCACATTTAATAATATTAATAACCATTTCATCTAATTAATGAATATACCTTCAAAATGTTAAATAACAGTGTTGATAACAGCATCATTGTTTCAGTGTAAATCTAAAAATATTAGTCTCATAATGATAGTTTTTCACACAGTGATGTATTTGGTCATGACAGAAGAGAAGCCTTACATTCCTGTTTTTCTAATTAAAAAAATTGATGTTAGCTTTTTTTATATTTTTGAGACAGGCTGCTCAGGCTGCCCTTGAACTCCTGGTCTTAGCCTCCTTTGTAGTGCCACTACAAGTGGCTCTTTATGTTTGATTTTACAAATGTCTTTTTATCATTTATTGAGGTAATTAACTTTTTCTCCTTTGACCTTTTAACACAATGATTTGTTGATATTTAATCAAGTTTGCATTCCCAGACTAAACTGGTTTGGTCACAATGTTGTGGTTTTTAAAAATATTGCTTGATTTTATTTTCTAATATTTTTATTTAGGATTCTTTGTTTTTGGAGACAGGATCTCACTATGTAGTTTTGGCTGATCTCAAATTAATGATCTTCATGCCTCAGCCTTCTGAGAATTGGGATTATTTAGGATTTTTTAAACAATATTTGAGTGAAATTGAAATACAGTTTTCTGTGAAGTTTTGGAATCATTGTTACATGGTTTATACAAATACTTGGGACTCTATTTGTTCTGGGAAATTTAATGAATATTTAAATGTTTATTCAAATGTTTATTCTTTTAAGATTTGAAAGAATTCATCTGTAAAACTCTCTAGTGTCTCTCTCTTTGGGAGACATTTAGTCTTAGGCATTTTAAAAAATATTTTTCAGATCTTGATTTGTGTTTTTTGTTCTTTTCTTTTTTTGGAAAAAGGGTCTCACTCTGCAATTCAGGCTGGTTTTGAACTCACTATGTAGTCCAGGCTGGTCTTGAACTCATGGCAATCCTCCTGTCTCAGCCCCCCAAGTGCTGGTATTACAGGTGTTCACCACGACATTGGGCTGTTATTTTCTCTTAAATATCACAAAGTTTTTAAGAATCATTTTTGTCAATGGAGCTATTTTCTCCATTTTCCTTTTTTTTTTTTCTAATATGGAATAAAGCTATTTGATAATATGATAAAATCTTTTCCAGAGTTAGGAGTTTCCTTAGATTGCCTACATCTTTTTGATTTATTTTTGGTAATTTATATTCTTATCAAAAGTCATGAATTTTTCCTAGATTTTTAAACTTATTAATGAGGAGTCTAATTTACCCCACTACTGGTATTTTCTTTTTTTTTTTTGGTACCAGGGGTCAAACTCGGGACCTTGTGCTTGTGAGGCAGGCAGCAGCACCACTGAGCTGAATCTCTGGCCCTAGTATTTTCATTTTTATTCTTAATTATGTGTATTTATACTTTCATTTTGCCCTTTTCCCATTTTATCATAATAATATCAGGTAATATTATTTTTACTATTTTAGAATTTATTGAGCTTTTATCTGTGGCCATCATAGGACTGATTTTTGTGAGCAAATGATTTAATCTTCTTGCTGCAGAGTATTCCTGTTTGGCATTAAGTGAGCTGAATGCTTCTGGAAGCAGACTGAGTTCTCATGGACACATATTATTTTTTAACCAATGCAGCTTAGAGTCCTGCAGTAAGTATCTCAAGAGCAGCACCAATGACTGAGCCAGAAAGCTGTTCTGAAGTGCGGAATCCCAGACCTCTCCCCAGACTTACTGAATCACAATGATCATGTTTACCAAGATCCACTACTGACACATGTGCGGATTCAAATTCTAAAGAATTTCATATTTTAAGTTATAATATTTTATTTAGTGGCTAATATCCTCCAAATCATATATTATTTGTTACTGTTGCCCTTTTAAATGAACCAAATCTTTCATCGAAAAGAAAACAAAAAGTTTTATAAGGCACCGAGAACAGTATAAAATTGCTACCACTTTTTGAAAGATGTAATTACAGCTGGGGCTGGCTCCTGACCGCACTCTGATGTCATTCTTTCCTCCATCTCCCTTTCCTTCATGCTGTTTGGAAACTGATTAGGACCTAGGGATTTTGGCTCTGCAGCCCCTTAGGACATGTTTGCACCCCCCTGGACTGCAAACTCAAGTGTAATAACAGTGTTTTGTGTGTTTTTCTGTGAGGCGCAGGCTTGGCTGAAGCCATTAGGCAGTGATGCCAATCCTTGGGCTGAGCATCAACTGAAAGAAACAAACAGTACATTCTTCTCTTCTCACAGCATGCAGAGTTAGGCAACCATAAGAAAGGAAGTGCAAGAAAGAGCAACAACCTGGTAATCACTGAGGAGTTTGACAGATTAGGATGGGCATGAGTCAAGGCAGTTGTATTATGTCTCAGGAATCGGGGCTTTTCAGGAAAACTTCATGAGAATGTATTCAATTCTCACTATGCCAAGCCAAGGGCCTCTCTCAAGGGAAATGTCTTAGCATCTAAATATCTGGCAAATATTCTAGGTTTTCTAGGCGGTGACATTTTATTTTTGTGAAACTAACATGTTGGGGATATCTCTGGCAAGGAAGAAAGGAGTAGATGAATCACAGAAGCCTCTCCTTTCAGGTCCTGTTAAGATATTTCAGTTGGGCAGCTTAATCATACTCAGGAGCAGAAGCACCTCTAACAGGAGTATAATTTTTGATTATCTCAGAAAAAAGAAAAAGAAACCTGGTTCTTGGTTCAGCTAATTCCCTGGTTGAGCCTGAATCCTCATACTGATGATAATTGTCATGAAAAATATATGCAATTGCAAACAATTGCAAAAGGGTGTGAGAAATCAACAATGCCTTGCCCACAAACATCTGAAAAATTCTGAGAACAAGTTTTGATTGATATAACTCCTTTATGTTTTTATCAATTGTTTCTTAGGTTGTTTTATTGCCAGACTGTATTAGTCAGCTTTTCCTTGTTGGGACACAATACCTGACATATATGGCTGTGACAGTTAACTGATTGTGTCAACTTGAGTAAGAAATGCCCAACTAAATTGGCTCAGCACAGTTCTGAGTGTGGAAGATTCACCCACCTTAGGGAGGGTTGTCTCTAAAATGGTATAAAAAGGAAATGAAGAAGGAAGGCAGGCTTTTGTTTCTTCGGAGGAGCACCAGTCTTCATCTGCACCTTGGACAGTGTCTCCTGGCTTCCAGCACAGACTCTTTGACCTCTAGCACAGACCCTTCAGCCTTCCATTGCACACCCTTTGGCCTCCAGACATGGACTCTCATGGGACTCTATAGTGAGCTCCAGGTCTTCTATTGGATCCTTTGAATCTCCTGGGCATAGGCAGACCTTTTGCACTCTTTTACATCTGACTCTGTGCACGGCTGTTGTAGGTCAATCTTGTAAATTCTTACATATATTTTTGTATATCCTGCATTAAG